TGCGATTGTGCGATTCGTATTGGCTTCATCCCTCCTCTCGTCAATGAATGACGGTCTCGTTTGAGTCGCACGCGAGAATAAGATGTCGCCTAGGGATTAGAGACGAAAATATGCTTGAGGTTCGTTGCTTGAGGTCTTTCGACTTGTCGCTATAAACGCGTCGTCGCGTCGTTCGGAGCGATAGAACGAGGACCGTGGGAGTGATTGAAGTGCGCCGAGCGCCTGCCGAACTTTTGACAATAGGTCAGTTACGCGGTGGACCAGACCTTCCTGGCGGAAGCAAGGCTTAAGACTTTTAAAACTCCGATTCCCAGGCCTCCTGGGCCTTGCAAACCGCCAATGAATTCGCAGAATTTATTGTACAGGAAGGTCTGGGAACGAGATCTATACCTACCGTGATATTCCACACTTGCATGTCGCGGTGAGCAAAGTATTATAAATCTCAGTTAGTTACCCGCTTATGTGTAGCAATCACAAGAAGCCTTATATAAGCTCCTTCTTTTGACTACTACTTCGTGACAAAAGGCAAGTCTCTGTATCTGCACTTGGAAGACCTCAAAGCTTCAAAACCAATGTTTTCCCTAAGTTTTGAATTTCAAGGTGGCAACTGCGGGTCAAATTCAAATCGACACCTTTTGAACCCAGCTTGAAGCCGATAGCGCCAGGTCCCGGGTTCAATTCCTGGTCAAGTTTTCCGCTGGTCATTTGGAAATACTACGCATGCTCGGAGCTCGCACATTTATACGATGTCATATAAGTCGTCCTCTCTCAGGGGTTTCACCTATGTCGAATAACTTTGCTAATCGTCTTCAACGAATTTATCGGTGCTTCCCTGAACAGAAGCACTACTAGAAACAAAGAATCGGACGTGAATGGGACTTGGTCATGGCTTCCATGGCCCGGAACGAGTACTGTTATAAAGACTTAAGCGAAAGGGTTCTGCCAAGTGCGAGTGCAGCGAATTTGAAGCGAGGAGTAAAAGAGACTAGTCATCAGGGAATCTTTTCCAATGAAGACCTTTCAGCATCCAAAAAAAGCGAGCAAAAACGGCCTGCACTGGAATTTGCTTCAAGTTGGGTTCAACATCCGTCGATTTTAATCTGACCCGCGGCAATTACCAACCAAGCTAGGCGGAACATAGGTGAATACTGCTCGTTCGCCACAAAAAGAGCGAAAAGAGAGCAGTTTACACACCTTTATGGTAAGAAATAGGAAAAAAAAAAGCGGGCCTAACCGGGAATTGAACCCGGGACCTCCTCGATCGGTCACGTGACGTTAATCACGTGAAACCCTAACAAGGAATCATACTACTAGACCATCAGGCCACATAGAACATCGTACATGTAATATATATAATCTGCGTGGTCTAGATTAGGCTATATATCTGCCCCTTTCTCATGTTCGATCTCATCATCTAATAACATTATAAAGAAAGACCCGCGGAAGGGTGTTCGAGTCGATATAACTCTAGCGTAAAATAGTACGAGTGGATGTTTTGCGTTTTCGCGGGCAGAAATCCCCGAGCAGCACGACATGGATTTTGTCGGCGTTGACGGAGACTCATGCCGTGCGAACAGTCAGTGCCGGATAATTGGTCGCGACTTTGTGAACGACCACGAACACGACTACGACCACGACCGAAAGACAGAGAATTGATAATCCTGACGATTCGGAGCATTGTCTCCGGTAAGTTGAATTCAGCGCAGATGTTACGACAGCCAAGTGGATGCGGGGACACAGGGCCGAAGTCAGCTGGAAGCTTCGGTGGAGTGGCAGATGATTGCTCGATGCAGGACTGCGTCATGTTCTCCTCCCCCACCACTTATAAAATCTCTGCCATGTCTCCTCCTTCTTCATCGCAAAAATGCCCCACCTTCAGCTTCGAGGCTTGCCCATCGGCATCTATGCCATCCTTCTCGCTCTCATTGCCTCCATGGGAGGCTTCATTTTTGGGTACGTGTCTTGTATTTTCAACTTTCAACGAGTAGTTGACGTGAATTGAATCTCGAAAGCTTCGACACTGGACAGATTTCTGATATCCTGCTCATGACGGATTTCAAGCGCAGGTTCGCAAACGGCTGCAGCATCGATACTACGTCGTTCGCAGACGCGGGCTCCTGCACGTTTTCTAATGTCCGTTCCGGTCTCATCGTTGCTCTCCTCAGCATCGGTACTCTCATCGGCGCGGTCTGTGGTGCTCCGTAAGTGTCCATGTGCTCTTCTGTCTTCAACGATATTCCGTACTCATTCCAATCACTGATGCCCAGCATTGCGGACTTCCTTGGACGCCGAAATGCCATGTCCGTCGAATGTGTTGTCTTCGTCATTGGTGTCCTCGTCCAAATCACGACCTTCACGAAATGGTACCAGTTCGCCATCGGTCGTCTCATTGCTGGTTTAGGTGTCGGCGCGCTCAGTGCAGCCGTGCCCATGTATCAAGCAGAGACCGCTCCACCTCAAATTAGAGGCACTCTGACGGCGACGTACCAACTCTTCATTACGTTCGGCATCCTTGTCGCGTATTGCATTTCTATCGGAACACGTTCTATGAATAACTCGGGCAGCTGGAGGACTGTAGTCGGCATCGGCATCCTCTGGGCTCTCGTGCTGGGCTTCGGTATCCAACTTATGCCCGAGTCCCCGCGCTGGTCTGCTCGCCACGGTGACTATCCTTCTGCTCGGGCCGCCATTGCGAAAGTACGGGGTATCCCGGAGGACCACCCGCTCGTCGACGCAGAGGTTGAAGAAATCGAAAACTCTCTAGAGGCGGAGAAAAGATTCGAAGCCGAACGCCTGCAGATCGATCAAGCGGAACTAGCAAACGGGAAATCGACGAAATTAAAATCCCGTGGTGCGATATATGCGTGGATGGAATGCTTCCAGGGCTTTACGAAAAACAGCTCACGCATTGGCTACCGTACCCTGCTCGGAATGAGTCTCCAAAGTCTCCAGCAGCTCACTGGTGCCAATTATTTCTTCTACTACGGAGCCACCATTTTCCAGTCAGTGGGCATCTCCGATTCGTTTGTCACGCAAATCATTCTCGGTGCCGTCAACTTCTTCTGCACCTTCGGCGGTTTGTACATCATGGAGAAGGTGCGTCATGGTTTGTAGAATCTTCGGCATTTATTCAATCGTTTCAGTATGGTCGACGACTTCCCCTCATATTGGGAGGCATCTGGCAAAGTGGTTGGCTTTTCGTGTTTGCAGCGGCCGGAACTGCCAAGAACCCGACAGAAAATGAAGGCATTGGGAAACGTATGTCGTTGATATCATCCTTTGGAACGCATTTAATCTTCGGAATTGAACAGTCATGATTGTTTCCGCTTGCATGTTTATCTGGGGTTACGCCATGACCTGGGCTCGTGAGTTCCATTACACCCACTTCAAATCATTGATTCCACTAATCACGATGTATGCACACGCGCTTGATCACAGCGTAAGTCTCTTCTAACGCCTCAATTTCCGCTGAAGATCTCATTCTACATCTCTTTACTAGTGGCATTTGGATTCTCATTGGCGAAACGTTCCCAACGCGATCGCGAGCTAAGCAAGGCGCGTTGTCCACTGCAGCTAACTGGTTCTGGGTAAGATCTCGCTTATCCATCCTCTATGTATGGTTGACTGAAAACGTCCCGACAGAACTTCCTTCTCGCATTCTTTACGCCGTTCATCGTTTCGGCGATCGACTTCCGCTATGGCTTCGTCTTCGCTGCGTGTAATTTGCTCGGTGCCGTCGTTGTTTGGTTCTTCCTCTATGAGAGTGCGGGACTCAGTCTTGAGAACGTCGACATCGTAAGTTCACTCGCCTTCAAAATGACGGATCAGAAATTTTACTATTATATTCCTTTAATTTAGATGTACCGCGATCCAGCATGCCATCCATGGACATCCCGACAATGGTGCCCACCTGGGTATGCGTCGCGCCGTGATGCGGAAATGGAGCTACACGAAAAGGCTGGGATGACACCCGCGCAATTCGAAGAGAAGACGCAAAATCAGGATGGGCGATCGAGCACGGGCGGCACGACCGTGCGCGATAGTGCAAGCGTACATCAACAGAACGATATCAAGAAGGCCGCATAATTTGTCCTTGATAGAACATTTTCTCTTTCTTGGTGAAACCCTGAGTGTCGCTCTCAAATAGGTTGTCCGGTACATGGACCACGGAATTGGAATATAATGTACAGTTTGATATGTATCGTAGTAATAATGTACCAGTATGTATGTATGTCCTTTGATTCATAGGATGAAGAATACGAATTTCGATTGTAATTAACAGTCCAAGCAAGAGATCTCCCTTGAGACACCTGCAGTAATTGGCAGCGCGCCTTCAACTAACCGGTAACCACTCAGCGCCTGCAATCAAGAGAAGGATTTCTCGTCCTTAACTTTATACCGAATTCAACAATTTCAATTCAACCAAGAATCTACTTTTACTACGAACAAAGTCATCTACAAGGGAGTTTAAACAACAGATGCACTAAATGACAATAGATCCGAGCAAAGAGATGAGGAGTACATATGCGTTCGAGGGAATAATAAATGGTGCGACAAAAATAAGTAAGGAGTGACTTGATGCTGATGATAAAGAAAGAGAAGATAAATCCATGACAGTGTGACCGTTACTTCCATTGGACACTCGCAAGAGATTCTGCGTCGCTGTGTTGAGCGGGGTGCTCGAAGTCAATCGACTTGACCAGTTGTGCCGCCTTCTCCGATCGCGGGGTGACAGTGCACACAAAGTCCTTCGGGTGGCTATATGAAAACGCAAATTTCATTTATCGTCAGCGACAACCTTCTCCTCGGAGCATAATGAAAAGGAAGAAAGCGAGTTGCAGAAACACGCACCTGATCACGCCTGGCGTGTACTCGTACAGCGGCTCGATGGTGTTTCCGGAGGCGTCCTTGGCCTTCCCGATGGTGAAAGCTGCGAGAACCTGTGCGATCGCGATGAAGATGGACGCGTCGGCAAGTTCCTTGCCCGGGCAAATCCTTGAATGACGGGCAGCGTCAATAAATGTCAAAGGCATGGATTCGCAGCGCGCATGACGTCGCGCGCCTCGCTCATTTGCTCACCTGCGTCCGAAACCGAAGCTGAGTTCATGCGGGTCGAACTCGGGATTCGCACCGAGGAAACGCTCAGGTTTGAACGCCTTCGGGTCTTTGTAGGTGGAGGGGTCGTGTGTGAAGTGCCTGCGATAAAATCGCCCACTCAGTCGGACGGATGGCGGTTTACTCGGAGATGAAGCTTACCAGATGTTGGGAAGGATAATGGTGCCTTTGGGGATGAAGTAGCCATTGAAGACAGCGTCCTCCGATGCAGTATGGGGGATGCCTGAGTTGTTAGATCTCGATTACTATTTTTCTTGTCGTTAAGGAACGTCGAAGCTCACATAGAGGGACTACGGGTTGCCAGCGAAGAGTCTCTTTTACGAGAGCGTTGATGTAGGGCAGATTCTCGCGGTCCGCGAACAGGGGGAGGCGGTCAGAGCCGACGACACGGTCGATTTCCTCTTGTGCGGCCTTTTGGACGTCAGGGTTCAGTGTCATTGCCAGGAAGAAAGTGTACAAGGAGGAGACGGTCTACGGCAAGACAATTAGCAAAAGGGACCGTAACAAATTCGCACATATCAAACATACCGTGTCCGCACCACCGCCGTAGAGAGCGAAACCAGCCCATTTGAGAGTGTAATCGTCATCGTCGCTCTTTGGTCCATCTTCAAGGAACGCCGAGGTGAAAGAGGGGAAGTAATGACCAGAAGACTAGGAGCAGATGAGTATCTTCATTAATCTTGGATTAGATTTGAAACGACTCACCATCTGTTGCTTCACGAATGCATGAGGTTGGTCTACTGTTTGGTCCAAGACGCCCCTCCAATCTTTAGCGACGCGTTTGAAGCCCGTTCCAGGGAACCAGTCTGGGATGTATTGCACTGGACAAAAATAATCAGAACTTCTCGAAAATCTTGCGATGTGAAGCAGCACATCGCCGATCTTTTTCTTCTTACAGAAAGGCATCATATCAACCATCCACTTTCCGGCCTCCGCGGCGAGAGAGAACTCCGCGAGCGCGTTGTCGGCGAGCTCGACAAGCGGGTCTGGCTTCTCGTGATCTACGGTGTATCCGTGCGACATCTTCAAGATAATAGAACCGGTCGCACTGGAAAAAAAGGCGAAGTATAATTAGCATGCAGCATTAGTTAGGCGGAACCATTTATGAATCCGCGTTTGAGACGCACGCTCGAATTTTGTCGTGGAGCTTGTCAGGCTCTGCCATCAGCCGGCGCAGGAAGTGTCGCGTTTCGGTTTCTTGCAGTGGATG